ACAGACATTGAATTAGTACTTTAGTGATGAGTTTTAGGACAGGGAGGAGTATGATGAGTAGACAGAAGGAAGATTTGTTGGTCCCTGGGGTGGTCAGTCAATGCTTCCCTGGGGCAGTGTCTTTAATAACATGATCCTTAGAGGGTTCCCCCAAACTCCAGAGTATTCTCCCAGTATATCCCCAACCAAAGTTTTGTGAGTCTCCCTGCATGCCTTTGTCTTTGGGCTTTCCTCCTTTGTGAAAGTTCTTCCTCTCGGTGAGGTTGAATGGGTCGATGAGAAGAAAAAGAGGCAATGCAGATAAATGAACATCAACCTTCGGGGTGCAGAGGAAGCCCTTTTCACATCAAGCCCAGCTGCAGGAAGACGGGGCGCATTAGAAAAGCCAGCTGACCAAGGTTCGAGCAACAGGTACCTTTACAGGAGGCCCAAGACAGGCCCCTTTCACGGTCTGGGCTGCCACCTCTTCCTCTGTACATTGTGCCCAGACACCTCACTGGCCTGTAGAGAGGATTTTGCACACTCTCATCATGTGGTTATATGTGCTGATAGCATTGAGGCAGGTGTATGCTAATTATATGTAGATCATATGCAAAATTGCATGTGCCCTTCCATCTTGCTGCATGGGAATAGGTCCCCTGGGATCTTCCTCTAGTTCCACACAGACAATGCTGACTTCAGACCTATTTACACCACTGCCTGTAGAGAGGATTTTGCACACTCTCATCATGTGGTTATATGTGCTGATAGCATTGAGGCGGGTGTATGCTAATTATATGTAGATCATATGCAAAATTGCATGTGCCCTTCCATCTTGCTGCAGGGGAATAGGTCCCCTGGGATCTTCCTCTAGTTCCACACAGACAATGCTGACTTCAGACCGATTTACACCACCCTATTTACACCACTTTTTTTTTTTAACTTTGTCTATATCTTAGTAGAGACTGGTGGGGAAGCGCAGTGTGGAGTTGGAGGTGTGGGGGTATATGCCTGTGTTCTCCGGAGAATACAATTCTGTGTCGTGTTTGGAGAGACGCAGAGGAGAGGGAACCTAGGCATGCAAGAATTGGGAATGACATAAGGCATCCAATTCAAATCAACACATAATTTTGAGGACCTTCGACTTACAAGGAACCATTCTAACAGTGAACAAAAGAGCTCTTAAATTCTAGCGGGAGATCATTTTATCCGGACCTCTCTTTTTGCAGAGAAGGGAAATGAGACCCAGCAGCATAAAGGGGAGGTGGGGTGGTGTGACTTGTCCTAAGCAAGGTTACCTGGCAAGCTGAGCCCAGACCTCTGGTGCCAAATTCCTGGTTCTGGGCTGGTGGTTCAGAGGTGCACCCTTCCAGCCCCCTGAAATGTGACTGCTGTTGATTAAGTTATTTTCACTCAGAAATAAATCTCTGTCACCAATGTACTCCCCCATCCCTATTGAAGCTCAGTGATTTCCTTTTGCCACTTACACTCTAGGTAAACATTTCCTTCTGAACTTCTGAAGCCACTGCTTCAAGGTTCTCATTTCTCTTAATGTGTTTCCTCTTGGTTCTAGAGAAAAACCCTCTCTTTGCCCTTTCTCTCTGCCTCCTGGGGCTAAGCCACCCTTATTCCTTAGCTCTGTGTTGCAGAATCTACCCTTTCCCACTCCTTCCCCCGTCTTCCTCAACTGCAAACAGAGGTGGCCTGAGACCAGGTCCCAAGCCCTGGGAAGGTTCTGAACTGAGGGCACCCTACAGATGTGTAAACACTTTACCTTGCTAACCAGGCTAGTCGCCTTCCAAAGGCAACAGGAAAACGAAGGACTGGGAGCCCCTTGCAAAATAAAAACCTGCAGGGAGAGAGAGAGAGAAGAAAGAGAGAGGGAAAAAGGATCCTGTTTCAGATTCTAATTTTCTCATTAGAAGACCCTTCATTTTCTTTTATGGGGGGAAGGGGTTAGGCAGGAGAGGGAGAGAAGGTGAGCAAAGAGGTTTGGGAGTGGGGGGTAAATGTGTGGTGCCAGGAACCTTTGCTGTGTGGATTCCCGTAGTGGGCAGCAACACATAGATCTGGGGCAATGCATTCCAAATCTGGACTCAGGTCTTTGGCTTTGGAGGGGGTCAGTGGGGGTGGGGGGGGTGGAGGCAGCTTTTAATATGTAATCTCCTAATATCATCTAAGCTGACAGGGATTTCTGATTTCTACGTAGGGTTTGCCAGTATGTTTAAGGAGGACTTGTGCTTTTTTGAGCCTTCATCCTCCTAGCTCTTGATACATCAGGCAAGATGCCTTCAGGGTATGTTCTTTCTCTGGCCTTTCTGTATTTTGATTCTAGTCATTTCCTACTTTTCTTCTTCGACATCACTCCCAGACCCCCCAGCATCTTACAAATGAACTCCCATTTGGACAGCTATTGTATGTTACGGATGCTGTATCCTCTATATCTTTGAAGTATGACAACATATTTAAAGAGAGATACAGATGAGGGAATTAAGGTCCACAGAGGTGAAGTGATTTTGCCCTAGAGGTACAGCTCATAATTGCTGTAGTCAAGAATCAAAGCAGATTACTCAAAGTCCAAAGATTTTGCTCTTTCTAAACTACCAAAAACAGTGTCCTCTGATTCTCTCTGTCCTTTAGCCACGGATATGTAAACTAGTGACTTTCACTCTGTTTGTCCTTTAAGTCCCCCCTTTCTCTTCTCCCACTCTGTTGAGACTCATTCCTGTGCTCACTCATGAGACACTTTCTGAGGGCCTGCTGTAGCAGGTTACCAAGATGACCCCACACAGTCACTGCTCTTAAGAAGCATCCAGTACTCATGAGACACTTTCTGAGGGCCTGCTGTAGCAGGTTACCAAGATGACCCCACACAGTCATTGCTCTTAAGAAGCATCCAGTCTCTAGCATCCAGTCTAGTAGAGAATTGGTAACAGTGAGGATACAGGCAACTCCAAAACCAGAGAGTAAGTGCCAAGTTTCTTAAAAATAAAAGGAGTTCAGATGAGAGAATAATCACTAATCACAGGGCAATCAGGGAGAGCTTCTTGGAAGAGGTGCCTTGTGTGTTAGTCACTGGGATACCTAGAATAAACAATTTTAAACTTGGACCGAGTATGTGACAGGGAACCTAATTTAATCCTCTCCTTTACCAGAGGGAGATCCAAGACCCAGAGGAGGTACTTGGTGCTTTACCAAGGTCATCCAGACGAGTTTGTTAGGAGACTCTGGCTATTACCTGAAAGACTATTGGGCAGGGGGTGGAAGGTGAGGTGTAGATAGCCTTAGATGCTCTATCAAAACTGCTGGCTATGTCAGCTGCTAACAGAGAGATTTACACAAATTCTAAGGTTCCAGTGCCCACAAAGGAGGAAAGCCTGTGTGGGCCTCCTCTATTGATTTCGCTGGAAGCTCTCCATTCTCATTTGGTGAGTGCTAATGGCAGATACACACTCAGAGTTATGGTGACCGCAACAATTCTCCAGCTGAGAGTAGGGACTGTCCTTCTAAATGAACATCATTTTATTCATTCTCGAATCCCCCTCTCTCTCCTCCCAGCTGGCTTCATGCATCATCTCACACTTAAAATACACTCTTAATTAGAAAGTCCTCTTCCCCATCCAACAGCTTCGTCTGTGCCAGGGACACTGGGTATATTGCAGAAAGGCTGGGGAATGGAGGTTGGTGAGTATAAAGATAATTAGATCCAGTGAGAATCCACTACGCTACTTCCTGGGTGTCCCAGAGTAAGTCTAGAGACACCTGGCTTGGATCTTCCCCAAATACCCAACTAAAACTTGTGACACCCCCCAAGTAGATGGTATGATCCAGATCCCTAATGACATTGGCGAGGGAGGTGGACATGCTATAGAATTAGTGCATAGGACAGTGAATCCCAGGGTCCGATGGATCTAGGATCCACTTACCTTCCAGTTGACCTTGAACCTGTCTCCTCACCTCCTTTAATTTCCATATCCTCATTAGTTAAATGAGAAATTTAATATCATCACCATGGGGGGTTACATGGATTAAATTAATTAATACATGTACATATCTTAGCACAATGCTTGGCCTGCCATAGAAGCTTGGTAGACTTTGCTTATTATTATTATCTATTATGTAGTCATCTCCAACATCTTTTTATGTTGAGGGCACTCATTCATATATACATAGGCATTAGTGGTAGAGAAAAGCAAGCTGAATTGGGTCTCAGGAGATGTGTCAATGACTCTGTGTAGCCTGACAAATGCCTTCCATTCTCTGGGTCTCAATTCCTTCACCTGTCAAGTGAAGGGATTGGAGGTAATAATCTCTACAAATCTTTCCACCTCTGCAATGAAGTGTGTTTGCTTTTCTTTGGGGGTGAATGTCAGGGCTAGCCGAGACTTCTGTTAGAGATAGAAACACTGGCTTTTGAGCCTTTCACTCTCACTTTTCTAGACCAACTTTCTGACCCAACTTTTAGCACCACAGATCAATTGATGGTAATGGCAGGTGTACACTCAAAGTTATGGTGAATATAGTATTCTACATGAGCATCTTCTATTTATTATCATCTTTCTCTCTTTCTCCTCTCACCTCATTTGTCATCCTACACTTAAAATATCCTTTTAATTCGAAAGTCCTCTTCCTCATACAACAACTTTGCAAAACCAATGGTTTTCAGATTTTTATTATTATTGCTGTTGTTGCATTTTCTTTAGGTGACATGCCCATTCTATAAATACAAATCTTTCTGTGTGCTCCATATTCAAAACCAGTAAAAGTCAGCTGCATGGGCTAAAGTTATGGTGAGAATGCACCAAACCCAACTTACTTGTTCTCTCAGTTCCTGTAGCCCTTGCCTTGCCCTTGGGGTGGTCCCAGAGGCACCATTCGTAACTGCCAGGATCCCACAGAGCAGTTCAAAAACCACTAGTAGTCTAGGACATCCTGATATGAATTTTATCAGAGAAAAATAACTTACCCCCCTCTTCTTCCATCCTTTATTTATTCATCTTTCTCTTTTGGGGACACATAGGGCTGTATGACAAATGTTCTTATACCTCGCGTGACCGAGGATGGGTCGTGGGCATTCACCCCGTCAGTGACCAAGGCAACAGAGACCCACGCTACTTTTTCTCCTTGAAGACAGACCGGGCCCGTCAAGTGACCACCATCCATGCCCACCGCAGCTACCTCCCAGGCCAGTGGGTACACCTAGCTGCCACCTACGATGGGAGGCTGATGAAGCTCTATGTGAATGGTGCCCAAGTGGCAACCTCTGGGGAGCAAGTGGGTGGCATATTCAGCGTGCTGACCCAGAAATGTAAAGTGCTCATGTTGGGGGGCAGTGCCCTGGATCACAACTACAGGGGCTACATCGAGCACTTCAGTCTGTGGAAGGTGGCAAGGACTCAGCGGGAGATACTGTCAGACATGGAAGTCCATGGCCTCCACACTCCTCTACCTCAGCTCCTCCTCCAGGAGAACTGGGACACTGTGAAGCGCACCTGGTCCCCCATGAAGGATGGCAACAGCCCCCGAGTGGAATTCAGCAATGCCCCCAGTTTCCTCCTGGACACGAATTTGGAGCCCCCTCTGTGTGGGCAGACATTGTGTGACAACACAGAGGTCATGGCGAGCTACAACCAGCTCCCAAGTTTCCGCCAGCCCAAGGTGGTGCGCTACCGTGTGGTCAACCTCTACGACGACAGCGGTGAGAACCCGACGGTGAGCCGCGAGCAGGTTGACTTCCAGCACCGGCAGCTGGCCGAGTCCTTCAAACACTACAACATCTCCTGGGAGCTAGAGGTGCTGGAGGTGAGCAACTCGTCCCTGCGTCACCGCCTCATCCTGGCCAACTGTGACATCAGCAAGATCGGAGATGAGAATTGCGACCCTGAGTGCAACCACACGCTGACTGGACATGACGGTGGGGACTGCCGCCACCTGCGCCACCCCACCTTCATGAAGAAGCAGCAGAACGGTGTGTGTGACATGGACTGCAACTATGAACGCTTCAACTTTGATTCCGGAGAGTGCTGTGACCCCGAAATCACCGATGTCACTAAGACTTGCTTTGATCCTGACTCTCCACACAGGTAAGACCCTGCTGGGCAGAAGGTGCCCAGTTGAGAGCTGAACTTGGTGTCTTCCATTTTATAGATAAGGCACGTGAGGCCCATAGGGGTTAGAGGAACTTTCCAGTTCACACAGCAGCTTTATGATCTAGGAGAGTCTATTACTCAAGTCATCCTGGGGATCATCAGCAAGCACAGTTCATTACAAAAATATTTACTGAGTGCCCATGGTGGGATACAAAGGATGACTTGGAACCCTGTCTTCACAAAGAGCTCTGAGTGTAAATTGGGTGACATAAGCTGAATACAAATTACTACTCCATTGTACGTAGTAGAGTAGCTGAGAGTTGCACTGTCTAATACTGTAGACTCTAGCCATATGTGACTATTTAAATTTAAATCAGTTTTGAGTTGCACTAATGACATTTCAAGTACTCAGTAGCTACATGGGGTTCGTGGCCACCATACTAAACAGAGCAATGTGGAACATTTCCATCGTTGTAGAAAGCTCTGTTGGGCATGCCGGTAGAGCTGGGGTCAGCTGTGGTCAGACGTCCTGGGTTCAGATCTCAGCTCTGCTACATGCTCACTTTGTGACCCCTCAGAAGCTGTTTCTTCATCCGTAAAATGGGAATAATAATGGTATCTACTTTGTCGAGCTGCTCTGAGGACTACCTGAGAGAGGACACACACAGTGCAGTCTCCATGGCAGTGCCTAGCACATAATTAACTCTCAGTAAGTATAGTTGTCATTACTTGCCTAATGAAAGGTCGTGTGGTGTGTCTAGGGAGTGCCATGGGAGATCAAAGCAAAAAAGTTGACTAGCAGCTTTATCAGGGGAGGCTTCTTTGAGAGAGGTGGCATTTGAGCAAGATCTGCAAGTACAGGTATAAGTTGAGATATAATAGAACAAGTCTAGAGATCTAATGAACAACGAGATAATAGAACAGGTATAATAGAATAAGTCTAGAGTTCTTACATACAGCCTGGAGACTATGGGTAATAAAATTGTGTTGCATTTGGGATTCACGCTAAATGAGTTGATTTTAGCTGCACTTGCCACAAAAACAAGAACACAATGGGTAACTGTGAGATGATGGATATGTTCATTTGTTTCACTATAGTAACCTTTTTACGGTTGATATGTATCCCCTAACAACATGGTGTATTCCTTAATATACACAATAAAATTTATTTAGAAAAGAATAGGTATAATTTGGACATTAGAAATTGGGTTGTGGGAGAAGGGGGGATACTCCAGACAGAGACAAGTTCTCATATTCTGCTGGAATATGAGAGAAAGGGAGGCCGTGTGCCTCGCTTAGCCTCTGCCAATGGCTGTCAACTATAACCAGTAATCCCGAAGTAGAACCCAGAGGTGAATCTGAGGGCGACCTGTATTAGATGTGGGACCTGAAGTAACTAGTTTCAAGCCAGAGAGACAGTCAACATCCACTTTCCTGTTTTTCCCAGAATCATGCTTAACTTTTCCATTCTGCCCAACACACAGGACCCTGGACTGCTGATGGCTCGAGCACATTTGCCAACCTCTGCAGGTTTTCTGCTGACTTTTCTCTTTATGTCTCTCTCAAAAGAGCAAGGGCCTCCTGTGCACAGACAAAATACCTATGTGCAAAGGAATGACGATGCTGGCAGCAAGTCAGAAAGCACGTCAGCTCAGCCTCTTGGCACCAGGAGGGCCCTTGGACTCTCACCTTGGCTCTGACACACGAGCAGCCCATGTGAGAAGAAGCCTTGGTGTGTGGCCAGTCCCTTCCAGGTCACAATGCACTGTCATCTCTGATCTCATTTGGATCTTGCCAGAACTTGGCAAGGGGGACAAGAAAGGGGTTAACGTTTGCATTTGACTGAAAAGGAAATAGAGGGAGCTTAGAGAGTAAAGTGACTTAGCCAAGTTAACGGGTCAGGAAAGTCATTAGGCTAGATAACAATCCAAGTCTTCTGTGATCAGTGTAGTGTGTGCTGCACTGAGCTAGACTCCCAGGAGCCATCTATGTGCCAGGGCAGAGTGGGCATGGGGGAGAATGGGCATAGCTGGAAATCATTCATTCATTTGTACATCCATTCATTTGCTCATTCATTCATTCAAGCAACCTGCCACGTGCCAGGAAGGTGGGTTCCCTTAGCCTTATCTTTCTGAAGGAAATCCAGGATTCGGAAAGATAAGCCCGCCTTGCTAATAAATGGGTAGCATGGGTTCTAGCCTAGGTCTACTGACTCTGAAGCTCCCACTAAAGGGGAGGAACAATGAGAGGCAGAATTAAAGGACAGGGGTGATGGGCAGAGTGGCTTTACTGAAGCCTTGGGAGAAAATTGATGAGTGTCATTAGGTTAAAACTAAGGGCAGGTGGCCTTTGCAGAGCACCATACTGGTGTGGAGGGGCCATGGGGCTCGAGGTTCCAGATCCTTTACAATCAGCAGACTGTGCTGGCAGGCTCCAGAGGCCTCCTCTTTTCTAAATCACAGGACTGAATGCCCAGAATGTTTGTGAGTGGCCATGTGCCAGCACTGTGACCACTCACGCCAGGGCCTGTTTGTTCGCTGTCTGGGAAAGCTGTGTGCCCTGGGTGAGCCCCACCAAGCTCTGGGTCATCTCCTGATGAGGTTGGGGGTTACTGGGTTCTGGCAGAATCAGCTCCACTGTGTGCAGAGGGAAACCTGTGGAAGATTGCAGCGAGACATTTGCTTTGTGTCTTTAAACAAAAAAGAGACGATGAAAGGGAGGGAGAGATGGGGGGAAGAGGGGAAGGTGGGAAGGAAAGAAGAAAGGGAAGGAGGAAAGGAGGAAGTGAGGGAGAGAAGCTGTAACAGAAGCAATGAAAATTAGGTTGACATTATCGCTGATTTTAAATAAAGAACTGAACTTAATTCTTATCCCGGGTTCTTATTCTCTCTCTCTCTCTCTCTCTCTCTCTCTCTCTCTCTCTCTCTCTCTCTCTCTCTACCTCTATCTCTTTCTTTCTTGATGGGTAAAGACAATACTTAAATCTCTATTTCTCAGTCTACAGAGAAAGGGCAGTTTTGTTTTTTTCTATATGTTGCAAAATGCTTTTGTAACAGGGAACAAAAATGAATTGATATAAAAACAAAATAGCTCAAGAATGGTGCAACAGCGGCAGGGTTCTCTGAGAGTTTCCAAATGTGACTCTGTATTTTTGTACTCATTGTGCCAGGGACTAGTAAAACAGTCTGTGGGCTGCCTTCTTTGAGTAGCTATGATTAAAATTCACCATCTAACAGTTTCTGTTGCAATTCCCTCGAGACAGGTAAGATCCACCAGTAATGCAGCTGGGGAGATTGACAGACTCTATCAGAGAAGTATCATTTAAAAAAAAACACACACACTTAAACTCTATTTTTTATCTAATGGTTCTTGGGCCCATTGGCCCATGTTCTCAGGATTGCATGTGCTATAGGAAAGCAATGAGTCCCAGCAGAGGGGTTGCAGAAGACAGCAAAATGGTGTCAATTGTCAGACTTGGAGACATCTACATAGATTGTTGAGTCTACCCCTTTATCTCCCATAGAAGAAAACTGAGGCCGAAGCTCACAGTCCATTGGTGTTGAAGTTTTGGAGGGGGGGGGTTCAGATTTCTGACCCCTGGTTGTCTGCCATGACTGTTTCGCAGGACTGTCTTGATGTTCTTGTCAGCCACAGATACCTGTCACCTCCTGTTCTATCATCACTGTCTTTTTCCTGACTCTCCTGAGAGCTCGGGACTGTGAAGTGCTGAACGAGTGAGTTTGAAAGAGAATTAGATAACAGCATTGGGTTTCCATGAGCCACTTTAGAACTCTCTGAGCATATTGGCAGTAGAGGCAAGGACGAGGACAGCCAGCTGAGGATGTTGAAGCAGGGGACTGGGCAGTGAGAGTCCTGGAGGAGAGAACACCCTCACAGGCCCATGACCACAGGGTCATGACACATACACTCCAAGTCTCCTAAGGCCTGTCCTGTGGAAAAGGTAGCAGAATTATCCTGTATGGCTTCCAAGCCATGGCTGGGACCACGGTGTTGCAATTACAGGAGGCAGCTTCCAGCCTGATCAAGTAACAGATGATGTCATCTCCAGTCAGAATGGTCCCTTGGAGGATGCTTCTCTGCAGGTGATGGGCTCCCAGTCACCTGAGGCATGCAGGTTGACACCAGTAGCCAAGCACAGGGAGGCTGTAGCTGGGATTACAGTGCTGGTAGAGAAGGTAGCCTTGATGGTCTTGGGGTTGAACATTGCATGGCCCAACTTTTTGCTGATGTCTAATTCCATGTCATTTTAGGAAAGCAAATGTTGTCTGTTTCTCTTCTCTTTAACAGACATTTATTGGCCATATCCACCCCTGCCAGCCTCTGTTGTTCACTGGGGGGAGGGAAGTTGCAATGGGTTGGACATGTTTCCTACCACTGGGGGAGTTTCCACTCTACTGGGAGAGTCATATACAAACATAAGAAACTCTGTCTGTGGATTTAGAGACATATGGTGGAACAGACCTAAAAAGCAGAGACTTAATCTGACTAGGCAAAACAAGGCAAATCAGCCAGAGAGGGCATGGTCTGAGTAGGCATCCAGGCGCAGGCAGCCCAGGGAGAGGTACAGATGCAGACCGCATCATTTGGGGTCCCAGCAGGAAACAGACAGCACATTCAAACAGAATAATATCTGACTAGGCAAAACAAGGCAAATCAGCCAGAGAGGGCATGGTCTGAGTAGGCATCCAGGCTCAGGCAGCCCAGGGAGAGGTACAGATGCAGACCGCATCAGTTGGGGTCCCAGCAGGAAACAGACAGCACATTCAAACAGAATAATAATAGAGAGTAAAAGAAGGGGCTATTTTGAAAGAGAGGCTGTTTTCAAATTGTAGGCAGGGGTTAGGACACTCTGCAGGGCATAGCACTATTCTCCAGAGCCAGCAACCATAGGGAGCCATGTCCACACTTGGCCTGCAGGGGCAAGAGGGAGCAGCTCTGGAACCCAAAGAGAGTGGCTGTCTGGTGAGGTTTCC